CTTCTACCAAATGTGCCACCGAATTCAGTCATTGTTATTGACAATGCCTCGTACCACAGTAGAAAGTTGGAGAAGATACCAACAATGTCGTGGAGAAAAGAACACATTATAGATTGGCTTCGTGAGAAAAATGTACCGATTGAAGAAAATCCATTAAAACGAGACCTACTGGCTTCTGTTGCGCATGTTCGGCATCACTACGACAAAAATAAGCTTGATGTTATTGCACAAGAAAAAGGTTACGAGATTCTCCGTTTACCTCCATACCATTGTGAATTAAATCCCATTGAAATGGTGTGGGCTCAAGTTAAACATCATATCAAAATGAATAACAAAACATTTAAAATAAAGGACATGGAAGAATTAATAAAAATGGGTTATTCACAAGTTACGGTTCAAAATTGGCAACATTATGTCAATCACGTGAAAACTATCGAAGATGGCATGTGGGCAGCAGATTATCTTCAAGATGATGTTGAAGAATTTATAATTCAAGTGTCGCAGTCATCTTCCGATGAATTTCAATTCGATTCCAGTGACTAATATGTATACTGTACATTTGTAAATTTTTGGGGACTTAATAAATACAAGCTGTTCTCGGCCACATTTGACAAACAATTACAACTTGTTATTAATTTACCTTTTTGACTTCTGAGGTTAGGTTAAAAAGTAATAAATAGTGTCTAAACTACCGTTTTACGGTGCAGTAATCGATCCTATAATAAGTTTGGCAAGCATGTACTGTTTCTCCATAAGCCCCATACTGCATACTAAGGTGCGAGTGGTCTATAGATAGAGGTTTATTTTTCATGAAAACGTAACATCTGCGGTATAACTAAGTTATTGGTTTCAATTCATTGTGCATGAGAGACTGATCTATAGTATTTTTGGATAGTTTTATTTGACTCTCTTCCACCATTAGGTACAATAGTTCGTTGCAGTGCTGATTTAAGAGAATTCTTTTTGGTAGTTGGTCGGTCTTCCATAATCCCTGAAATTGAAAGGTGAAAACAGCCTACATATTTAAGCGAACGCAATTTCTTCATCCATAATTTCCAGTTATGTTCCTAAATGAACCTCACATAAACAACACATAAAACGCGCGGCAAAGGAACGCTGGTGAAATGTAAATGAATAGACCTAAAAGTATAATAATGTAACTACATTACCACTTGACAATAACATATCTCCTGGGTAACAGAGTAGCAATCCGCATGAATTTTCTAAATTGCCAAAATACGTTACGCGTCCGACTCCATTTGGAAAAAAAGCCTTGTACATCTGACGCCTTTTCCACATAGTGTAACGCACAACAAACATAAAATGAATTTATTGCCGAAAATTGTGCGAGAAGATCGCATTTTAGAATTACATCTGACGTTCGGTTTAAAGGGGACGTTGGAGCTTACACGCCAGCAATCTCTAAGTGGAGTACAAGAAGCACTCACGTCACGTACCTACTTCCAAATGTGCCGACATCAGATTCGAAGAGACTAGCGTGATTGGATTGCGATTACAAGTTCGGCATACGCTATTTTCGTACAAGTGCTTAGTGTCACACACACGCACAAACAATTGAGTGAGGCCTCCGACTCCGAAACCACTGAGGATGGCATCAATTAATAATTAGAATAGAAATTAATGCTAATCTCACATCTGAATAGGCGCAACGTGTTCGAACATCAGATCTGTAACAAGCACCGAATAAGATCGATGTGGAAAACATTTTCCTTCGCAACTGTTATGGAGATCATTTATTAACGTTTCTTTGCCATTTTAGAGTAAATTTGTTAGACGTGCTATCTCAATGCCTTGATTGGAATTCTCCCTGCTGAACGAATGATCCCAACTCAACTCACACGACTTGGCATGCACTTAATGTAAATAACAGGCAGAATTGAAACATGATTGAATTATAGATGAGCTGGTAGGTAGTGGCGCTTTTAGAGATGTAGGTATGTATCAAATGAAAACCTTTAGAAATCAGGGAGAACGTAAAAACCAAATTTCATTTTATTTCAATTTGCATAAATTATTATTTCTATCTTCATAAATCAAGTAGAAATTATCGCTATATTCAAGTCGAAAACGTATGCCCTGTTGTTTAAAGGGGATGTTTGTGACAATTCAGACTTCAGAGCCGGTCAGTGGAGCCTTTGACAATTGTACAGAAAGACAACACCGCGTGTCTGGTGGGTAAATGAAGTATAACGGTATCTATATATACTCAACGGGGCCCGTTAACTTGCCCCCCCCCCACCCCCCACCTAGTGATTTGATTGCCATATTATGCGCTCACATGCGCCACCGATAAATAACTCTTTTGCGCCATTATCGTTTTTTAGCAATCTGAAAAGACATTTGAGAGAGGCCAACTATACGTAGCCCCCCATGTATTTGTCGATGCACTACTTAAATTAAAGCTAGCGCCATCACGGTTAGTCATGATAAGTCATGACAAATTCATTTCATTTTTTACCCCAATAAAATACCTCCTTTGCTAACGCGCTGGTGGTAAGAATAAAAGCGAAATCGACAAATTTCAGTTTTTCTGGCATATCTTCGGAAGTAATCAGAATGTTCTGGTGTTTTTTAAAGCATGATAATAGCTCTTTAGTTGAGCAATTTTTCCCTAATTTAACCATCATCATATTTTCCATGGTTTCGGAGATCCCCATGCTACACATCCTAAAAGACTATAATGGAGCATTTCTAAACATTTCTGTTTACGGTGCATTTGAGTGCATGATGAGATGAGAGGTACAAGGTAGTGAAAAAAACATCTTAAAAAACGTAACTTTTGAAAATGTCAAATTAGTCTCTTCTCCAATTTTTAAAAATTTGTTATGGCTTAGCCGTGATTACGCTAGCTTTAATTCAAGTGTGGCCAAGTGGCCCAATTAAGCACATAACCGCATGTATCGAGTGGCACAGATACCGATAGCAAAACGCGTTATGGGGGGCCACGTTCACTTGGCTCCTACCAAATATCTTGAAGGACATCGAAAAAACAAGAATGGCGCAAAGACATCTTTTTGCGGCGCATTTTAACGCATACCTAGGAGTACAATTTAGTATCGAAACATGATTAAAAAAAATAACTTTTAAAAACGTTGCCCCCCCCCACTTTTTAAAAATTTGTCATGTCCTAACCGTGATGGCGCTAGCTTTAACTCAAGTGGATCAGGTGGCATAGATACCAGCATGAAAATACATAGTGGGGGGGGGGGGGGGAGGCTACGTATACTTGGCCCCTCCCAAATGTATTTTCGGTTTACTAAAAAAACGACGAATATCCATCAAATCTCTAAGTGGGAGGGGAGGGGCAGGTTAACGGACCCTGCTCAACGTTTAACTAGCCCCTCCGGCATTTTTTTGATGGGGATAGATAGATAGAGAGAACCCTGAGCATTTTGTGCAAATTTTGTTACATTTTTCTTTAAACCCACCTTAAACTTACAAAAATCCATGTCTGATCCTGAATTAAAATGCAGGTTGCGTCGTTGAGTAAAAAATAAGGACATTGTTATTCAATGGTCACATGCGTTAACTTATTTCCCATTCAAGGATCAAAGAGCTCGTAACACCGTAATTTGTGCTCGTTTTGTACTATTTTGAGCGCATTTTCCAACGAAGATGAGTTGCAGTCACTTTCTCTGTCTGCCCGCCCGGCCGTCTGTCCCTCCGATGCCTTAACTACTCTTACAGTTTTACAGATGCTTCTAGTAAAGCAAACATATCGCATATTGTAAACACCAAGTGTGCGTAGGCGCAGCTTGCGCGATGCGAACTTTCTTATTTATGGAGACCGTAGATGCTTCTAGTAAAGAAAACCATAGCACATTTTAGGAAATGCGCTAAAGTTACTCGCCTTAGAGCAAAAACCTTTTTTTTTATTTTTTAGTTGTAGCCGTAAGTTGAGATTCCGAGGTTTAGCTTTTATATCAACGTTTGGGTCGCCTTCCTGGGTCTGCAAGCTGGTTTCGGTTTTTCCTTGTTCCCAAGTCTATTATCCCCCTGCATTGTTGCTGGGTGGCTTGGTAGCTATACATTACCCCCCATTCCCCATAAAAGAAGAGGGTTCAGAAATGAGGCCAGCAATCTACCCTGGATAAAACACCAAAAAGCGCTCAAGAAGAGAGTTTCTGCAAAAAACGGCAAAATGTCAATTTTCAGGGGCTCAAACCCCTATAGAAAGGGTTCCCACTAACCGAAGGGGTAACCTTTCGAAAATTGTTTTTTTAAAGTCTCGAGAAGCTTCATGCAAAATTGGATGCTTGTAGCCGGCTTGTAAATATAATGTCAAAATTTTAAAGTAAGCGACCTCGGTATAGCACCATTCGGGACCTATCCAACCGGCATATGATTGTCATGTCATAGATCTGTTACACATACGCAATTTTCCCGGATGAATACTTTAGATCCGTCACCTAAATCATGTATGTACAGTGTCCTACACTTATTTTAAACCGTTTCTTAAGGGTTTAAAATTGGAATAAAAGAAATTAAATTATGTACTTGATTACAAAAATTCCCTGCAACAAATTCAATACTGATTTCCCCCACGAAAGGAGTTTTCGTTGTTATAATCGTTTGAATTTCGTTAACTCTATATCAGGAAAATGGTTCATCACACGAAATATGTGTAAAATGTTTTGACGGACCAAAAAAACTGAAAATATACAGGGTGTTGTATTTAAAATATAAAAATACCAATCGATGTCTCCGTGCGTTTGTACTCCCCTATTTATTGATTATCGAATTTACCGAACTAACTAACTACTGCCATGTATAGTTTCATCTACGGTACCTTAATACCGGGTGAATCATTAGAACTGATGTCAGTTTGAATTTCGCGCGTACAATTCTAGTGTTTTTTACGGGATAGAATTGGCGATGATATATTTTTAGTTATTTTACTAATTTTTATTAGTCACAGTGCCGTCGTTATTTCGTTAATTTGTTGATGTTTTTAATTTACTTTTCCAATCGGTATTATCAAACAGTTCTTTCCAAAACTACGCTGTAAATTCAAGAATTTGTTGAAGTAAGTAATTAAATAACGGTTAAATCAGACTAATGTGCATTTGTAGGTTAAAAATCCCCTTCTTGAGGATCCTCCAGTCCTGTCGAGAGCAGTTTATGGAAGGAAGAGTATCCCGATGTTATTATTTCTTATAAAGCATTTGCCAATCATAAGAAAGGAATCGTTGATTGATTTGAAAACAAGAATTGCATTTGCAAAGAAGAAAAAACAGGTCGTCCATTACTAAGAAACGATGAAGTGGTCGAAGACAAAGAATGGAAGCGAGTTCCAGAAAATCAATCCGTCAGTTAAGTGCCCAAGCTGGTAAGTGGTACACGTAGAATGAATATTATACCTACTAACTTTATTTTCGAATTACAGGAGTGTCTTCATGCAACATGCCAACGAATTTTGCATAAAGATCTACGTATACATACACCCGTATCGGGTTTCTGTTCTACAGCAACTGCATGCTCTTGATTATGAGAATCGACGTAATTATTGTGATTGATTTAATAACAATTTAAATAATAACGACTTATTTGTAAATTAAAAATAAATTATTACTCCTTGGAGAGTGATTCTACATACACCACTGGAATTAGGCAAATGATAATCTATTATTACCAACCTTTAAAATTTTTTCTTTTGCGGGACATTCAAACTGTCATCAGTTCTAATGAATCACCCGGTATTACCAGGTGTCTGTGCGAAAACTCCATAACAAATACCAAACGTAACGAGAAGATTTACGTTTGGATTAAAATTTCAATTTTTCCCCTCACTGGAAAGAATTTGTCTGGATAATTAGAGTCAATGAAATTTGCGTCATTTTACACTGTTGGTTTTCAATAGATCGATGTTTTTTTAATTGTCTCTACTCGTCCGTCGCGCCTTGAAGTCTGCTTGTTGGATCAAATTGCATCTGTTTTAATGGGGATATAGTATTACAGTTCTTAGCTCATCATGAGATGAAGCTACCGCTGCTGACCGCGTAGTTTTTTTGACAGCCTTAAAGCCGTTCGGGATTGGCAGTACAAAAAACACTAACCAATAGAAAATTTAGACCTCCCCATTTTAAAGTTAATCTGCCATTGTGGGCGTTCAAAATTTTATGAAAAACTAGGAGGGAAGTAAACTGAATTTTCAGGGTTGGTCTTTTTTGCGTTGATAACAATGATAACCGGGTGTTAGTTAAAAGCAAAGAAAGTTATTGGTGAATATTTTTCGGGTTTTCTAACCATAAAAGTGTCGAGGGATTTCTCAACCCGAGAATAACGGAACATTACCTGGTTTTGGGTAATTGTGGAACAAAATTCATTTCAAGCGCGACAAAAACAAACCTACGAGAAGTTTCCACGCAGTTTTAAAAATTACAAAGACAATTTAGTCTCATAACATTCAATAAAACCTTTCAAAAATAATATAAACAACGTGTGCATTGGCCATTCACCTATGTGTTTCTCATACCTGTTAGATTTTTGGGACTTGCGATCAAAGACCTAAAATTGTTACCATGTATTACAAATTATGATGCCGACAACTACTAGGTCAATACATACATCATTGTATAAACGTAGAGGTTTACAGGGATTTGAATCGAATGAAAAATGAGTGTTCGTGCAGTGAAAGGAAATAAAAGTAACGAAACTAATGCAATTTAGCGGTGCTTCAATAAAACTCTTCCACGTTCATATAACATGTGGGATTAATTATGCATATTGTTTAACATGTCGATAAATTCACCCCTTCCGTCATTGCTATGTGGAAATACATATATCTTCCTCGGAAAAATGGATTTAATGGTTCATTGGAAACATGACAGGAGTTAATTATTTTAATGCTTGAACTGATCAAATTAATTATTTTATTGTTACACTGTTATGAAGTTGTATTAGCGGCGGCGATTGAGTTTCCATCTTATTTCATGGACTGGTATATGGACAAGGAACCGGTAATGCATAATTAACGCGGTATATGCGCGCGAGAAATGAAAAAGTTCTAATTTGGTTTAGAGGGTAACTTTTCCACCTAACCACCTCCCATTCTCCCTCAAGGAAAATTATATACCTACCTTACCCCCTCCGTTTGTACATATGCTACAAAAATTTGTATCTATCGATTTTACAGCGCTGACCTAAAAAACACTATCTATTAAAAATTACGATTCTATCATCGGAAACAAATGTCTAGCTTGTTGTTTATACTAAAAAAAACTACTCAGCCGATTTGTATCAAATAAAGCGTGATTTAATGATCAATTATTTGGACGTGAGGGTTGGTCACTTTAAAAAATACTACAGCAAAATGTGGATCTGTATGAATTAATTACGAAAAAGTATGTCCCTAAATGTGGTCATTTTTATATACGTGAAAGAATATACGAATGCCTCCTATTTTTGGCATTTATACAACATAGCGTATGAAATTATTTGAAAATTTTATGTCATTTAGCAGTCCCTCGACGAAAGCGTAAAAGAGCCATTCAAGTTATTTTTTATGAATTTAGTATTTACAGATCTATCTGTAAATTTACACGTTTATCTGGGAAGTCGAAGGAGCTGCCAGATCTTTCTGGAATTTATAGGTCTATTTGGGAATTTACATATTGTATAAACAACGCCTGGAAGGTGTTAGTTAGGTCTAAAACATCGAAAATAATGACGGAACATGTATATGAGATTATTTCAATTTAGTAAAGTAAATCGGGGAGATTATTTACGAATAAGAACAGAATTAGTTCATTCCATTTGAATTTGTGTATTAGTGATATTTTTCCTTTTGATGAAATTGCGTGTTAAAATGTAGGCACATCTGGTCATTTGCGATAAGAACTTTTGTTATCAGACGAAAATTAATTAATTTCAACGAAAATGCACATCTGGTCGGAAGAAACAGATTATTGTTTGATGAAGTTGCTGTTTCGTTAAATACGGCAAGCAGGAAGCCGCTGTTAAATGTTTTTTTCGCGATGGTTGGAAAGCCTTCTAATGTTTTCCAAAGCCTCCTGCTTTTACTTGAGGCGCCAAAACACATATAATCCCATTCCTTTACGTTTTTTTCATATTGTTTGAAAGCTTTCTGTGGTCACTTAAGGACTTTCCACAGCATTATAGCGCGTTATAGGTCACTCGTGGGTTGAACGTGCTTGGAAAAGTCACAGAAAGTGCTCAAGAAAATTAAACTCAAATACGTCCTTCTCCGTACAGAAGGTTCTTTTTTATTATGTTTGTGGGCGACGAGCTGAGTCTCTGATCAAGTGGTGGACTAATGCGTATATAGATTTCTGTAAAGTAGATAAGCTGTGGATTATTCAATGAGTTAGTTTTAGCCCCGGTGTAATAGAGAGGTGTACGGAGACTTGGTACTCTATAATTTATCCTCTATTCTCTTTATCGCTTTCAATATCCATGGGTTTTGAATCAAAGGAGCGCGATCGCGATTTTCCTATGAAATCTCCACTAATGCATTCGTTTCTTGACTGAGAAATGTGGTACGGTTTCCTGAGCACCCTGTCTCAATTTTTAGAGCCTTATTTCATCAAATGCTGAAAATAATGGATCTGTTCTGTTTTCCAAAATTTCGAAAAAAGTATAATTACTTCAAAAACCGTTCGATTTAGGAATATGGGCCTTTTTCTGCAAATTCTGCATGGATTTAGAAAATAAATAAAAAAATCCCGTTTAAAGTAACGAAGTACGAGTATATATACCTCACTAGCCACCAAAAATTTTTTAGCTGACCCGGCCTCATCTATATGTGCAACTTTCAGATATAACAGACGTCTTTGGACAATCTCCAACATTAATTCCCAGATACACTTGTCAATCTTCAGAAAGATCTATAAATTCTCAGAAAGATATGGCAAGTAATTCTACTGCATCCTGCCTCTGGTTAATCTTCATGCATCTTAACTAAATTGGGGGTGGTTCTTGTTATGTAATTCCTTTTTCTAAAGTTCTACGGCATCAATTGCATGGTTATTAGCCGTTAGTGTTTATAGTTTTATTTGTAAATGTGCTCCGGCTGACTGTCAGTCACTACTCCTCTTCTGGCCTACTAAATGAAAGAGTTCGCAATAAATAATAACTCAATAATCTTTATTAAAGTATGAAATGGTTCTTATTTTCTTTCATATTAATCTCGACTGTAATAAAATACATATTCGTAAATGGGGTTTGAGCGACACAATCCTGTAAAAGAAATGGGTAAGAGGCATGCTTTCGCAAAAACACACTTCGCATTGATTGGAAATATTCAACTTGTTATCGTCAGGTATCAAAAAAAAATTATTGTATTTTCGTAAACGCCCTGTATAATTAAAATAAAGTGAACTGCAATACGTTGATACTGTCCTGTTAATTTACGTGGTTTAGACGTTGTTTAATTTTTTGTTTTTAGCCGCATTTTGTTTATTTAATTGTTCAGAATTTACATGTAAGATACGGAAATTTATTTGTGTCATATTTGGAAAAGTTTATCTCATGTTTTTCTCGGGTTGCGGGTGCGTGTTTAGATAAGAGAATCTCATTTATTTTTTGCTAAAGAATTAGGAAGTAGAATCGAGTTTGGGACAAGAGAGAGAAAGGTGTTAAATAGAAAAGGAAGTGTTGCTACTTGACCGGTTACCTTTTGCCGCAGGCCTGTGCCCGTGGGCTTTTGACCGTTCGATTTTTCGTCGCCGCCACCGTGTTTGGCCGGTTTGTGTGAAGTATTTTGTTCAATTTAATTACAGCGGTGTTTTTGCAAAGTCAATCAGTTTCCTGTTAGTGAAGTTTATTAAAAAAGTTCATTAGTGAATTAAGATATTCGTGTTAAGTTAAATAGTCGAGTTCGAGTTAAGGAGAAGTTTTGTGTCACGTATTCGAACAAAAGTTTAATTTTACAATAAAGAAGTTGAGTTTATGAGACAAATTCAATTTCGACTAGATTTTTTGGACTATTAACATTACAAGGTAATTAAGACTTTATTGAATCTGTTTTGCTCGAGCGCTTGTATGCGTGGTATTTATCGCTGGCATTGTCGCCATCATTTACTCCAACAATTATTGATTCAATTTGTGTTGTTTAAAAGAACAGTTTCACGTTAATTATTTTTGTGAGTGACTATTTTCTAATTATGGGTCGCATGTGAGTGAGTTGTTCAAAAAGAGTGGCACAGTTGAGCGTGCTGTGAACAAACGACAATAAAAAAAAATTGAGCTACACACCACACCAGCACATTTTGGTATTGCTGCATTTGTAACTGTGTTATTGAGCCACGAGTTCGTTCGTTTATCATACACATTACACTTCGGGCATACGCGCACAATTCACACGCTAGTATAAGCTTTATATGTCATTCTACATTTGGTATCGATAGACGTATCCAACACGCACTCATTGCTCTTATTTTAATCACAATGACCCGCTTCATTTAACTCGTCCCGAATATACCACAAGTAACACAGTAGACATAAATATTTATTTACTTTATTTACATCTGAAATCTGAAAAAAAATTGCATTTCTACACCACGATTGTTACTTTATACATATTCCTAATTCCCTTTTAGCTCCCTTGCGGTTAAATAGAAACAGCT